GTTATGTGTGGGAATTTTTAGCAAAAGAATTTTCTCATTCTTCTCTCTTTCTTAAACTTTACAGTAAATGCTGATTCGGTGACAAAAACCTGCCTTCAAATAGTTTTGGAATTTGAACGAATTTGATTTGGGAAAAGTTACGACCGGTTCAAGCTATGCCTTTACTGCACTGAAGAAGCCTACTCAAGTTGGGAGGGGATAGCTGGTGTGTGCTTGCTTGCTTCACTTCTTTGCTTTTTATATTTAGCAAGTTTTTCCCTTTTTATGATTTATTCTTTTCATTTCCGAAATGTGAAATGCCATTCATCGTTGAGTGACGAACGTCTCATTTTCTTCAACAAGAATACACCTTTTCCTGGGTCTGCGCGACAACAACATAGCCTTTAGCGACATTCTCGCTAATGGTGACACCACATAGGAGTCGTGACTGACAAACGCACGAGTGTGGAGCAATTCGATCGTTACTAATTTGTACACTAAGTTCTTGCTACTGCCATAAAAGTACACGGTGGCGGTCTGCCCTCCAACGCGGCTTTCAAAACGCATCTGCGCAGGGCTTCATATCAACCCATGGACTCGGTCGCGGCTTTCTATAAGATATCACAATTCCTGCTCAGCAAAGAACCATCAGCGCATTGGAACCACGCCCTGCATCCGTAAAGACATCCAAAATGTTTCATCTGTGATCCCGCGAATTGATTTCATTATTTGCTTGAACAGTCTTGAAGGAACTTGCGTGCTCACCCCGATCGGTTCGGCTGCACCTTTTAAAAATTTACCCCAGCTTCGCTTCTCCTTGTCGTTGGGCTACCGTTTTCTTTAGAAGGGTGACATTGAAGTTCCCTGAACGTATACAAAACTGCTTCTCTTGGTATCTAATGCTGCATTCATGAAAGTAGCAGAAAAGAGGAGGACCTGCGTATTTGTTGAATTCATGTCCTGCAATCCGCGTGAAGAAATTCTAAACCACTACATACATAACATCAGCCCAAATCTCGCGCCGTGTGTCTACTTAACATAATTCGGTTGTTTTTTGAAGATTTCCACTTTTTTGG